AGTTTATACAGTACTGTTATAATTTACCTGTATTTTACACAATGTGGGGGGTTTGCCAGTTGGGCTTGTTTTCATAGAGCTGGTTGCTTGTTTTTGTCGCGAGATCTGGCAACACAGGGTAGTTTAGTCTTTTAGCGCATGCGCACATGAAGAGACGGTACTGGAGGGCTAACACGTCCCGAAGCATTTTAAGTCCGACATGAAACTGATCACTATGGTAACGGGGGAGCACGTGGTCACGCAAACCCACGTGAAGCCGACATCAGGTGAAGGCTAGACCGTCTCATTTCGCAGCAGTTTTGAGCATCCTACCCGGCCCAGCAAGGATGTGGCCTACGTGGCCCAGCTAGGCTGGGTCCTCATGAGGGACCCAGCCCATGAATTGAGACACAGCCAATGATTTTTTTTTTTTTTTGTCAAGGGACGAGGCGTTTCTGCAGAGACTTACGCCTTGAGTGACAGCGTGGATCACAAAACAACTTTTCCTGATTCCCCTCTTCTGTTCTTAGCTAAGTGGGCACCAGGTCTCTCGTCAGATGCTTAATGAGTGCTGTCACGATGTCGCCGTCTGCCGGTTTCCCGCACAGCTGATAAGACAATCTTGGGGCCATGGTGTTGGCGTAACACAAACACGGGGGAAGAGAAGGACCCGTTGAGCTGTTCAGCATGCCAAATTCCTCAGCTGCACAATAGTGAGCCCCAGCACAGCCAGCCTTCTTCAGCACAATGGGAGGGGGGTCAGGAGAGGCCCATGATGCTCAGGGAGAGAAGGAACTCAGTCAACCCCTGAGCTGTGATTGTTTCATGAATGGTTGCTTTGAGAAGGCGCTGTGTCACTCCAGGATCACAAAATGTCAATACTTATCTGGGTGGTAAAGAATGAATTATCAACTAGTCTTTAAGTTGATTCAAAGGTGTGCAAACAATGTAATGAAGGCCAGTTAGAAAAATAACATCATTAAGTAAGAAATGGAATCAACCACTGTTTTTTTTCTCATGTTGACTTGCAATATATGTATTTAATTTAAAAAACAAGTGAGCAAAATTTTTCAACTGAGCCAACCACCACGTGCATTTTTTTACCTGCAGAAACAGCTGAAGTGACTGAAAACAATGCCACGGTAGAGTCGATTAAGTCCAACAATTTTGGTTTATAAATATTTATTTTTGCTTTGTTTTTTTGAGTAAAATATGCTGATAAATCCATAAGTTAGGGTAAAACTTACCAGATTAGTAGAAGTTTTATAGCTGTGTGTTTTAAATGCTGAGTTCTGGCTTTATGGCACTCCACCACCCTGCTTGATCCTTTGTATTTATTCATGAGATTTGGCCTACTTCTTCTTTTTTCCTCTTGTGTTTTAGCAGCAGATTCATTCTTATATTTCCATCTCAAGGCCCTGTCACTAATGTTTTAGACAACTTGTGCCAACTCGTGAAAATTTTACAGACATCTACGTTGAGATGGAATTTCAAAAATCAACTGGAAGCCTCTTAAAGGCGTTAAACTGTAAAGCTAACAAATTTATCAAAATATATTACTTTTATTTGGACATAAAAAAAATCAATAACTTGTCTAAAACATTATAGAGTGATGACCTTTAACATCTTTAATATTTTTTGCCTGACTGGTTCCTTCATATTTGTTTACCTACACAGACTGTCTAACCTAATGTAGGTCAAACACGTGACTCAAGCTTCCGCTTGGTTTTCAGCAGATTCAGCTGAGTGCTTTGTTTACATTGAGCGCATAACCGCATTTCAGCATTGCTAAACATTACATTTTGAAAATTATTGGAGTAAACTTTTTCAAACGGTATTATACAATATAATTCAGAATAGATTTTGTTTGCTTTCATAGTTTATGAATAGTAGAGGCCAACAGATATAAGTAAATTTTATTAGAAATCAGAGCAACCATTGACAACACCAATTTTTTTAAATTAATTTTTCGTAACACAAAATGTAACAGTCATCATCGCTTAACTTAAATATTTAAATAGCAACCTTTAGTACATTTAATATAAGTTGCTTTTAGCAGCAGCTGCTTTGTCTTCAGTTTTCCACTTGGTCATTGATTATGTACAGGCATAGCTAAAGTGCCTTTATCTTTTAAAGGGATCCACAATTAGTTGTAACATTAGACTTCATTTGATAAACATTTATTTTAACTGTAAAATAAAGACTGTAAAAATACTGTAGGCTGTTCAGTTTTTATAAATTTTAAACAAAATTTTTAAATTTACACGGATGGGGCCATTTTATTTACACCCAAAGCATTCTGGGTAAATGTTGACCTGGATAGGTCCTCGGTGTGAGCGAGCTATATCCACCCTGAAGGTTAATCTTGGACAATATCTGA